TGGACTTTCGAGCACAGCTGCGAATCGAGGCAGGGGCACCCTCTCTTCTGTAAGTAAACCAGCACCCCAAGCTCAGTTAGCAAATCCAGTAAACTCATTAAGAGTTTCCAAATGGCGCTTTTGGGGAATTCTTGCCTCAGAGTGTCATAAGGGCAGTAGGAGGAGGGAATTGGATGCCACGTGCATCTTCCAGCAGTGAATTTGACTTTACAGCCAGTGATATTTTATAGTCATGGGTTAGCATATAATTGTCATTTTAAAAAATAATCATGAGGCGGTTGTGGTAGTGCATGCCTTTAATCCAGGACAGGTGGCTCTGGGAGATGGAGGCCAGCCTCATCAACTATCCAATTCCAGGCCAGTTGAGGCTACAGCTGTCTCATAAAACAACCAACCAACCAAACAAGCAAACAAAAATAATCATGAGCTCCAACACAGAACTCTTTTAAGTACCACTAATCCTGATAACATTTATTATATAAATCTTCATGGCATGCAAGTGTTACCTGGGCATAAGAAAATCACCTTGATCTATGGAATTTATTCTATCTTTGCATAAATAACTAATTGCACTAACAATCCAAAGGTCGTTAGTTTGGAGGCATGCAAGGCAAACAGCATTCTTCTTAGCAGTATTACAACTCCTATCCCTGAAAAGGGGGTTGATTTTCTTTTTTAAATATATTTTCGTCATATTTTTGTGTATTTCATACGTCTTAATCATATTTAGCCTGTCTTTCCCTATCTACACTCCCTATATCCTGCCCACAAGACTTCAAGCATTTTGCCATATGTGTTAAGGCCTATAAAATCAAGTTTGTGTACCCAGTTGCCTCGGTGTGAGTTCCTCCAATGGAGCCTGTTCGGCCTGTCTAGTGTCCCTCCCTTAAAGAAGATCGACTGGGGTTGGAGATTTAGTTCAGTGGTAGAGTGCCTGCCTAGCAAGCACAAGGCTCTGGGTTCGGTCCTCAGCTCCAAGAAAATAAAAAAGAAAAGACAAGAAGATCGACTGTCCCCCACCCAGCAGTGATCAGCCGCCAATAGAAAAAACTTATATAAAGCAGTAAGAATAATATCAAGGCTGGAGAGATGGCTCATTGGATAAGAACACTGACTGTTCTTGCAGAAGACCCGGGTTCGAATCCCAGCACCCACATGGCAGCTAACAACTGTCCATAACTCCAGTTCCAGGGGATCCCATAGTCTCGATAGCCTCTTCTGTCCTCTGCAGGCATTGCAGGACACGAGTGCACTTACCTACATGCAGGCAATACACACATACACATAAAATAAAACAATAAAATATTTCTTAAAAAAACAAACAAGAATAATATAAACAAGAGTATACCCTGGCTGTTCCAAAGTTTAGTTTACATTGAACACACTATTGATGACACAACACATCAGGAAAGAAGGGGAAAGATAAAAGTATCTATGATGAGCAAATGTTTTAAATGAAAAGAAAATCAACATTGTTCAGAAAAAAAAGGTAAACTAAAACTATAATGAGGTATTTTCACTTGTCACAATAGCAGATATTTGAAAAATCAAGTAAATATATTTTGTTGATGATGCTGATTAATACTATCATCATGATAGGATGCTTCATGATGTCATTAAAAACTAGTTTGGGGGAGAAGGTGAGATTGTGCAGCAGGTAAAAGGTGCTTTCTGCCAAGCTTGATGGCCTGACCTGAGTTCAGTGCCTGGGACCCTTATGATAGAAAGAGATAACAAATTACTGAAAGTTGTTCTCTGGACTCCACACTTGTGCCATGGCATGAGTACATTGACATACATACACACAATAAATAAATAAATGAATAAATAAATAAATAAATAAATAAATAAAGTAATAAATAAAGTAATAATTTTTAGTTAACTTTTTATGATATCTTCTGGACATGACAGAACCCTACATTCATGAATTCACAGCACCTGTGGTTGGCCTGCACAAGACCTGCAAAAGATCAAGCCACTCAACGTTCAAGCATGGAGTGGGAGGGGGTTCATGAGCCCCTATACTCACTAAGGAGCTATGGATAGTTGATGGCTAATGGGGGAGGAAGAGTCAGTTTTCTGTAAGGGTGTGGTTTCTAGTAGGTCAACCATGAACCAGTGGGTGGCCCCACACCCAGGAGTATATGGACAATACAAATGAGTTATTACAAACAAAAAGAAGACATAAAGTTGGGGGGGAGGAAGGTGAAGGTAGATATGGAAAGACCTGGGAGAGGAGTTGAGGTGAACCTAATCAAAATACATTTTATGAAATTCTCAAAGAATTAATTAAAATATTTAGAATATTTTTGAAAATTAATCTCTGGAAGACTGTTGGAAAAATCCTAACGGTATAATGTTAGGTTTAAAAAATGCAACACATACATAGGATGATACTAGAAAAAAATCAAATAACAATGCTACTTTGAATTGATAATATAAAAACAAGTGATTGTAATTTTGTTCTTTATGCTAGTCATCATTTTTGAAATTTACAAGCTTGTGAGATTTACCCAGAGCTCCAGACAAGAGATTGACAAGAATCTATAATTGTATAAGTGAGCTTGGCCTTAAATTTCAGACCCTGAAGATAACTAAGTCCACACTTACCAATACACTGGGGAATAACTGACAGTTATTTCTTATGAATTAAAATAGTAATGCTATATAAAACTACCATGACTCCTTGATTAACAAGTAATGAACCATTGTCTCGTAATGGAAATCAAGGATTGAGTTCCTTCAAGTCTCTGGTGACAATATTTTTGTCAGCCTGTCTATAAATTGATATACTCTGTTGTATTTGTATTTCTGTTTAAATACTGCATAAGCCATATATAGTTCATTAATTACTGAACTATAATTGAACTTTTAACCAGTAGTACTACAAGTCACACCTGAAAGAAGTTTAGCTAACATACATATTTTCTCCATGAACAAGGCACATTGATAGCCTTCTAGGGCTAAGGAACACTAGACAAAACTTCTATGCTATGCTCAGAAGCTATTTTAAGTAGGGAACTTACCAAAAGGAGCAAGGAAAATATTAAGAAACACAACACTAAGATTGTGGCAAGGACACTTAATTCTACTAAAAAGGCTGAAATGAGAAAGTGGGGCATCATCTTGTTAGACCTTAACTAGGAACAGACACACTGAACATCTTGAATTTTTCTCCACTCTGGACACACTGATGAATCACCATCAAAGCTCCACAAGTACTGATTTGGCTATTACCAATAAATTTTCCAAGTTGTTGAACTCATAAATACAGAATCTACAAATAAGAAGGATCAAATGTAATTATAGCTACAATTTAAGATAAAGTTCTTAATCAAAAGGAAAGGGTCAAATATCAATATTCCATAGGCAAACTTCTTCATAGTTGTTTAAAGTTGAGTAAGATATGATTTATAAAATAGTCCCCTAGATGGCACTTTACATAATGAAAATTAGAGCAATATGTTTCATCATTCATTTTATTTAATATAGTCAATGTCTTCCACAAGAGCTATCTCTTCGTTATTGAATTAAATTGAACCGTATCTCCAGATGTCAAAAATAGAGAACTACGGGATAATCTCAGCTATAACAATCTACAATCCTCTTGAGTGTGGTAAGGGGAGCTTGAGGCAATTCTCAGCTCCAATGAAAGACAAATGATCAAGGTCATCAAGTTACATATGTACATAAAACTGGCAAAAATATAATGTCATGGGTACCAAATTTAGGAGAAAGTGCATCTCTTGGGATTGTCTGGAAAACTTTATGTAGATAATAAAACTTGAAAAGACCTTAAAAGATTATTAAGATGGCAACTAGAGTTCTGGGGCTCTAAGCAAAGGGTTAGAATGTAGTACAGGTAGAGGGAAGGTGAAAAGCTTGGCTCCCATAATTGCTGTAAAGTAAGACACAGTGCTGCCTTACTATGCTCTGCTAATGTGTTAGCAGAGAGAACTAGATGGCAAATGGCTGAATGAAGGAGCACGGTTCTAATGACCGTCATCCTGTTTCTAGAAACTTCCTGGTTAAAATCTTTCCGTGCCCATTTTCACTTCCTTAACTAGAACACATATGGAAGCAAGTAGGGCTCAAGCCTGGTTCTTTAGCCTCACTCTCTGTCATCCACCAACACTTCCCTACACACAACACACCTCCAACATATGAACGATCAGCCTCCTCTAACACTCAAATGCTGTACACCTTCAGTAAATATTTACTTGCTCAATAATTGACTTTGCAAACACACTAAGCCTTTAATAAACCCTGCTCTGTTTACTAAGAATACAGGTGGTTCTCATGGGAAAAAAATAGCTAAACTTTATAATGCTCCAAGATTTCCCAGAATGTGTGTTGTGTTGTGTGTGTGTGTGTGTGTGTGTGTGTGTGTGTAGAAGAGGAGCCATTGAAAATGCCACAACACTACTTTGTCCATTCTAATTTCCTATCTAGGTTTAAAAAAAGTAGTATTCAAAAGAATCTCAAAATTTTGCAATTAAATTGGTAAATATGAGTAAATCCTTAAAATCTGAAATTTTAGACTCCATTATATTTTGACCCCTTGACTCTATAATAATAATAACTTGTTGAATTCTTAAATTATATGTTGCTGGTGATAATTTACATGAAGCTAAACATTTCTGAATATTCTTTCACAGAATCTGATTTTCTATATAAAATTATTTAATCACACCTTAGTTCCTTCAAAAGTCAATAACTTGTTTTAATCATATATTTTTTAAGAAGTCACCTCTTCCTCTTTATTATCTGTTCAAATAGAAATGTCTGCAGTGGTACAAATTACATAATAGTGAAACAGTTAATATTAGAATTTGAATTCATTTTATGTAAAATAGATGCTATCGCTATAAAGCAGCCTATGACAAGAAAGTTATAAATTGATTTTAGCCCATTATTCATTGCTTCTAATTCAACATCCTATCAGAAGTAAAAGGCAAGTTTTAAAATGTAGACTTCTGCAGTTAAATTTTTGTACTTACCGTTTCAAAACCTCGGTGTGGGTGATCAGGAAATCCTCCTGGCCTTCCTCCTTTAAATTCATCAAACAGTAAAAATGGATCCAGATTTTTTAACTGAAATAATAAAATTCCATAGTTTAGGCATGCCATCTAAGCCATACTACAAGAGCTACATTCATGAACAGATCTAACTCACTGAAAATTGCATAGCCAGTGAGCAACTTTCTGCAATGAAAATTACTCTTCAAGAAGAAGTTACACATACACAGAGGGATTCATCAAGTATATTAGAAATGACACTTTCGAAAAAGAGCAAAAAGTGAGCAAACATTTCATGATTATCTAACATTAAATAGTCAAATATATTCAAGCTCAGTCTATACCAAAACAGAGTAATAAAACATCATGGGACGGGGCAGATTATAAATCAATATCGCAATGTGCTCATGAGTACTCTGGAGGAACACAACTACACACATGAAAATGGGGTGTCATGAAGGAGGCTGCTTCTTAGGGAAGTGGCTCTTGAGCTGTATTTTGAAGTATATGTTGAAGATAATCAAGTGCAAAGGAGAAGGATGGGTGTTCCAGAAAGATGAGCAGTGAAAGAGTTTGACATCCTTAAAGAAGTCTGCTCATTGCTCATTGTAATTCCTTATGTACATGAGGTTAAATGTTCTAGAATATTCCTCCAAATGAACATATTTTTCTATAAAAATGATTTAAAACATTTTATTATTTTTACATTTTTTATGTGCACGAATATATTGCATGCATGTATATGAGTGCACCCGTGTCATGTAATGCCCATGGAGGTCAGACAAAGGCGATGGATCCCCTGGAACTGGAATTAGGATGATTGTTAGCTGCCATGTGGGTGCTGGGAACTGAACCCACGTCCTCTGCAAGAGCAGACAGGACTCCTAACTGCTGAGCCAACTCTCCAGCCCCTCTATAAATTTATTTAATACTTGCTCTTTATTAACTGCTCAAGTAGGAATGCCTGCAATGGCACAAATCAAATAATAAAAATAGCAATATTTAAAATTGATTATATTTCATTTAAAAGTAAATGTTCCACCTCTGTACTGTACGTAGAATTATGATGAGAGATGGGCAAGGGGTAGAGGCCAAACTTTTTGGTTTTTGAGGTAGGCTTTCACTTTGCACCCCAGGAAGGCCTGAAATTCTCAATCCTCTCGTGTGTGCCTCTTAAGTGTTGGATGACAGGTATGCATCACCACAACTAACTATAGGCCAAATCCTAAAGGAATTTAGGTCTTATCCTGAAGATGATGGGTTTTAATTGGGAATTGAGACAATCAGATTTAGAAAGATCTCTATATGGAAGATGATGAATATTCTTCAATATTTTGAAAAGGAGCAAAAGTCAGAACTAATGCAATGGCAGTAGCAATAGAAAATGGTTGAGTGACTATACAGATATAATGATGCAAGTAAGAAGAATTAAATAACTCCCAAATCTCTACTATGATGTCTAGGAAGATGGTAAGTCCATTCATCAAATCAAGGACAATAACAGAAGAAGCAGCCTTGAAATGGTTATGACTTCATCTTAGGTCATGTCGAGTTTGAGATGTCTATATAAATGTTACCAGTATAAATATTAATATTTGTGCAAAGGCTACAAGAACTATTGAAGATAAATTTCAAGCTCAAATTAGAGGAGGAAACACAAATGTTGTCATCAATATATTGGTTGTCTTTGCTTACTTCTTGGTCATTTGTTACTCTATTAACATTTTAAAATGTTTATATATTAGTAAAGATGCCAAAAGTTCTTTATGGAATGGCTTTGAACCTATGTATCATTTTGGGAAGAAGTGACATTATAATAATGATTTTTATTAGTTATAAACATGTTATCTCCATGTAGGTCTTTAAAATATCCTTCAATAAGGATTTGTAATTTTCTCCATAAACATTTTGCACGCATTTAAATTTTTTCTGCTAAAATATTTTAGCAGATATCACAATTTTTTTCATCTTTTTGAGACAGGGTCTCCCTGTAGCTCCAGCTGCCTGGAACTCACTCTGTAGACCAGGCTGGCCTCAAACTCACAGAGGATCCGCCTGCGTCTGCCTCCTGAGTGCTGGGATTAAAGGCATGAGCCACCATGCCTGGCCATAAATGGTATTTTAAATACATATTTATTATGTGTTGAACACTTTACTGCTGGTGATTATAAATATGAATAGAAAGGTGACTGCTAAGCACTTTCTAATTTCAGCAATTAATTTAAGTAGTTTCCTTGGGGTTTTCTTTTTAAGATGTTCATATCATCAGTGTATTTATCAGTAAGCTTTTCCCAACAATTCACAAAAATATGGTTTGCTTTTATTATCTTAAAGCTACAGGTTGCAATTTTCTAGGTTTTGCTGAATTCTATTGGCCTCTACAGTCTCTCATTCTGGAACTCATTTAGAAACAATGGCCACATTCAAGAATATACATGGTTAAGTCAAGTCAAGGAGAACAGGACACTTACCCTAGGACTCACAGGCATACACCTAAAGATAGAAGTGAAGAACCCTAACGAATGGAGGGAGCAAAATTTGAGAGTGATATTCAAACCAATATCCACAAGCAAGGAGGTAGGCTTTTTTCATTTTTGATCCTTATAATTTCTATTTCCATTTTTTTCAGTGCTAAGGATGAAACCCAGTGTCTCTCCCATACACAATATGTAAACATTCTACCACTGAGATATATTGCTAGCCCAATTATTTTCTTATCATTTTGCAACCTAGCATGTCTACAACAGTATTGAATAGGAATGATATTTGTAGACATCTTTGTCTTGATTTTACATAGTTGGGTTTTTTTAATTGTCATTGGTAAGCAAGTTATTTAATGTAGATTTCTGTTTCTGTAGATTCCCTTTATAAGACTAAGGAGCTGCCTTTCTGTTTCTATATCTTATTGTTATTGAATTTTCTTTTTTATAAATACTGATAGATGTTGAATTCTCTTGTTACTCTTCTGCATCAACTGAGATACTTACATGTGTTTTTCTCCTCTATGTCTTAATGTTTGTAAATCACATAAGCAGATTTTCTAACATAAAATATGCTTTCTTCAGACAACACAATCTTAGATTGTGACACATTATCTTTCCTATAGATTGCTATATTTGATTGGTTAGTAGTTTACTTAGAACTCCTGAAAAAATATTTATAACTGTGATATAATTGTCCTTTTACTTTCTCCCTCTTCTAGCCATTTATTTATTTGTTTATTTATTTATTTATTTATTTATTTATTTTGTTTTTGGTCGTTTTGAGACAGAGTCTTCCTGTAGCCCAGCTGGCCTGGAACTCACTATGTATACCAGGCTGGCCTCAAACTCACAGAGATACACCTGCCTCTGCCTCCCAAGTACTGGGATTAATGGTGTGAACCACCACACCCAGCTACTTGATAGCATGGTAATATCAACTTCATAATGTGATTTTATTTGATTTCCTCCAGTTTCATTATTGAGATTTTGTGTGATTTGGCTATTTGGTTAAAAAAGAACTGTAAAATTATCTAGATTCGTTGTCTTTGTGAAAGATTTTCAAAATGCTGATCCAATTATTCTAATAGTTATAAAACTGTCCAGTTACTTTATTTCTTCTTTTGACTCCCAGTTTCTCTAATTTCAGAGTATTTTCTTTCATATTACCAGAGACAAACATAGAAACTCGATCTATTTTATCCTCTCTTGTGTCTGCTTGCTATGAAAAAAAAATAATACCTGCAAGTATATACATTATACACTTGTGTGTATGTGCACATATGTCTCCCGATTGGCTAGTTCCTCCAAGGGGTGGGGCCTGCCACTGAGCGTGGACTATGGGACAGAAGCTGAAGTCAGGAGCCATGCGAGCCGTGTATGGGGAACCGTGTGTGGGGAATGCACAGCCTCGCAGCAGCTCAAGGACAGAATGGCCTGACTCTTATGGACCTGGGGCGAGATCGCTGGCTCTGGAGGCAGAAGCAAATGCTAGCGGTGGCTATGGGCATGGCGCGGTCTGATATAGCAGGCTCTGAGCCAAGGCCCCGGGCTAGGCACTGGGTACTCATTCCTTTGTAAGTTAATAAATGCACATAAAGATATGTTATATGGTTTGCTTGGTAGCGCAGATTTTAGGCCTAAGAAAGCCTGGATGTCTTCACTTTAGTGTGGGGATTACAGCCTACTCAAAGGTAGGTCACAAAGTAACACATCACAGCCCTGAGTTACATACAGTCTGATATGAAGCTAAAAATCAATTCAAGTATGTATATAATCATCTAAAAATGCTGAAAGGGCTTCAAATTAAAGGTATATTTAAAGTTCCCTTCCTCCTTTCCTCCTTTCCTTCCCCTCTACCTCTCTCCTCCTCATATACACACATATTCATTATCCAATATTTCCATCTTCTAAAATTTTTCATCTCTTCGAACCATCTGAATATAGTTCTTTGCTCCTCTTTACCTCTCACATTCTGGATTTCCCCATTTTCCATCAATAACTCTCAGTCCTTTTGATAAAAATGAAGCAGACCCTGAATCTATTCAATTTTATCTTATTATTTTAAACTCAATTCCAGGTCAATAAAAATTCCAAGAATGGAATTATGGTCAACAAAAGAGGTTGAAAATTCATGTACTTAATTATCCATTTTTTTCCACCAGATAATATAAACCTCAAAATACCATAAAGATTTGAAAATAGTGAATGCTGAGCATCTCTAAGTTCTACATTGATGAGTGGTATTGGGTACATTGCATTGGTCCTATGTATTTCTGAACCATCATTTTCTCCAGGTAGAAAACCAGTGTTTGGGATCTCTAAGATAACTTTCTCATTCTATTTTGTTGGGGTTCTGTGGTATTAAATATAGATGAACATAAGTATTTATTGCTTCTTAATATCAATGAGTTTCATATGGGCAAATAAGTTTCTGTCAAATCAACTGTGAAAACAAGAAGTTCCCTCTTTTCGGTCTATCTTTGTTACCACTGACTACCCACAGAACAGTAGCTGTTGACAGCTGCTGAGAAGTGGTACGTACTGCTGCTGAAAAGAAAACCTAAAATTGTGAAGTCATTTTGGGACCAGGTA